TTAGAGTGGAGGAGCATCCACTACTTGCAATTACTCACAAGGTTTGAAGTTCGACCAATAGAATAAAATAATAGTGTCTTATTACTATTACGAGTAAGAACTTTGTTATTTTATTAGATAAAAGCATGTTTCTACGAAGACTCGAAAGCACCTCTATATATACAAGACTGAATTACTACGCTAATTCTAAGGTTAGTATTTTACATTTGTTTATATGGGCTTATTATCAAAAATCAATTACGTATCTATCGTTCGATTTCTAATCTATTTTTCTTAAAGAACTATTCTCTACAGATAATCGTTTGTCCTTTGGATAATCGCGTGTCGAAACGTTCAATAATATTAAAGAATCAGAAGGGAGATTTATGACTAAGGAAAAAGGTATTGTCTCGTAACGAAATGCTTCTATTTTCGTATTGTGATTCGGGTTAATTAGGAAACTAATCTAAAAAATCGAAAGGAGATTTACGGAATTAGGAAATTCTATTGTGGACTATTTAAGGTTGGATGTTCATGGACAAATTAAGCGCATAAATTATGGAATTAAAGGATTTAATGTTACTTTAGTTAGTAACAGTGCTAGATTTCGATTTTCGTTGTCGATCATTCCAAAAAATTGATTTTCTACCGCAAATCCAAAAAACACCGAACCATTCTCTTCCTATAACTCTAAAAATTCAAAAACCACTGCTTTTAAACTTTTAGAATTTTTGTTTACATAAAAACGATGAAAATTTTGCGAATATATAGTGATATCCCAGTTATAATATTTTTGCGTTAAAAAATGAGCCACAATAAATTGAAAATAATTTCTGATAATCAGCTAATTTTCGATATTCTTAAACTAAGAAAATTGCCAATTAAGTATTATGATTTCTTTCCTTTATTTTTCATTTTTCTTAGTTATTTGATAGTATTTCAGCCAAAATACTTTTTGCGTTAAAAATTAATTTGTGCGGATCTATTTCCAAAAGTAGATCGAGATCGGGATTATCACTATACGTACATGTATATCGATCGATATTCTAATTTAGAACGCCAAATGCGATGCATAATCGAATGTATTTTATACATTATCGTTATATTACAAGATCAAATACAGTATATCGATATTTGGATTAACAATAAAAGCTGTGACAGATGTTACGTAATACCCTCAGGGAGGAGGGGTACTGACAATGTCTTATGTAATATATAAAGTTACATGCTTCGAATATCTTACCTGGGGAGAGGGGTGGGCTCTATAGCAAAGCACATCTGGAATGTGTGCCAGGTTCGTGCCACAGTCCAATAATAATGCGATTTACTAGTAGCACAGACCAATAAGAATGTGTGAATTTTTGATCAGCAGGCAAAACAATCTGACGCAAAAAATGAAAAATGCGAAAAATACGGGAAATGGATGTTCAAATCTAACTTGGAGTACTAATAAAAAATGTCGGTGAGGCAATTTACATATAATCTTGATCTCCACTCTAACCCTAACTATATATCAACTTTTGGGTAATTTTATTGCTGCGGCACAAATCTGGCACACATTCCAGATGTGCTATAGCAAACTTATATTACGTAATATATGTCACAAAGTGAAACCGAAAAAAGGGCAGATCATGTGACTTCCGATCACAATCTGTCTTTCCGGAGTTCCGGAGTCTGCCCTGTAGATCTGTTTTTTTGGTAAAGTTTATTTACGTATGCAAAATATGTAATTATGTATACAAATATAAAATGTGAGACACCATCATTCATTGTAACCAAAAAGCCAATCGCTGACCTCTGGAGCGTTGCCAGATATGTTGCTGAGTCCTTGCATTAAGACATCCTTGAATTTCTTGTGCAAGTGACTTTGTCATTCTTTCAAATTCTTCCACGAAGCTATTATTGTCCATTTGTTCTTTCGACAATGATGTACCTAACTCAAATATCTGTCTAATTCTATTTATAGTATCTCTATTCTGTTTAGAATCTTGTCGTTGATTAACAATAGTATAATAATTACTTGTAGATGCAGCGAGTGTATTCATTGAAAGCTCTAAACTTGCTTCGATATTTTGCATGGATCTACTTCAAGGATTGTTATTTATGTTGATTTGTTGAAGGTAATTCATATCAAAAGAGATAAATGAATAATTATGCTGCCACTTTGTGTAAGCAAAACAAGAAAAGAAATCTGGCTCCAAAATTGTTTACCTTGCAACAAGATACTTGCAAATTGAAAAGCGATTATTCAGAAATGCAGAAAATGAACATATCCAAGTTTCTAGATATATATTATATCTTTCTTCCTCACTGATTAATTTTTGACTGAAGTATTTCACCAAGTAGGAAATGTATATTCATTAAGATAAAGTATTATTGTATCCTTCATATCTTTGACTAGTTGTTGTATTAATATTTGAGTTAATTGATTAAAATGTGAATGATTATAATTGTACTTATAATTATACTTGAGTATTTATTCTTCAATAAGACTCAGTGATTATTGTTATTTGAGCAATTAATATTATATTGATATATGAGACATGGATGAACAATAGTATTCCTATGAAACTGAACCAAACTGAACTTTAATCTGAATTTGAGTTCAGTTCAAAATTCAAACTGAACTTGAATCAGACTTTGACTTGAGTTCAAGAAAAATTCAAAGTTTGAATTGAATCAAACTGAACTATTATATGAGTTCAAATATGATTCAAGTTCAATTAAAGATTAGTATATAGTACTATATACTGATTTGTAACTCTAAATATAAGCAATAACTTTCAATTTATAATATTTAGTAAGAATTAAAAGTTTACATAGTGATAACTAAAGTATTTTTATTTTTATATTTATTAAATTTGATTGTAAATACTATATAACTCTCTGAATAATTATTATTATTATTAATAACTATCTTATATCAATTTGTAGCTCTTATTTTTGACTATAATTTTACTTATAACTATAGTTTATAATTACTATAGCAAAATAAATATTTATTATACTAAAACTAAAGCAGATTAAAATTGTAATAATTAAAATTATTTTTTAAATCTATTTAACTTCTTAAATATTCATCTTAAATATTAACTATTTTATATTAAATTATAGCTTATATTATATTCTACAACTTTACTTAAAACATCAACAAATATTTACTTGAACTTGAATTAAATTTTTGGTCAGATTCAAGTCTGAATATTAACTATCTTATATTAATTTATAGCTTATATTATATTTTATAACTTTACTTAGAATATCAACAAATATTTACTTGAATTTGAATCAAATTTTTGATCAGGTTCAAGTCTGATTTAAAATTTGAACTGAACTTGAACCAGATTTTTAATTAGGTTCAAATTTTTGAACTGGATTTTTAATCAGATTTGAGTCTGATTCAAGCTTGAACTCAAATTGAACCAGACTTTTTTTCAGAATTCTAATAAATAATTGCTAATTCTTATAATTATACTAATTATATCAAATATATTCTCATACTATAACATAATTTTTTTTGCTGATAGTATTAATAAGTTTCTTGAGCACAAATTTTATATATCTCTGAAGATATAAAAAATTGATTCATATAAAAAAGTATTAAAAATACAAAAAGTATGCTTTTTTATTATTTATAATATATTTTTAATTTTCTTATCAAAGCACTTATAAGTTTCTTGATTTTTAGAAAATCATATTAGTTTTATATTAACTTTTATAAAAGTTTTGCTTATTTAATTTTTTTATAGCATGATTAATATATTATAAACAAAGCTAAATATTTGATATATATAATTAAGTTTTTTGTATTGTTGCTATTTCTTCAGTATTTTTTATAAAACTTAATTGAATACTCTCATTCTGTAATACTTTAAAGAATTTTAATAGAGTACCAGTATATATATATATTAAATTAAATATTCAATTTTTTAATGCAATAAAAATGTTTAGAAAAAGATATACTGAAAATACATTATATTTATTATAATTATTATTTATAACAAAAGTTCAAATTTTTGTTGATTTATTTTAAATATTAAATTTACAAAAATCTTTGTAATATTTTCTTTATTCATAAAAGATGTAATAAATTCCAGACTCTAAATGTAAAAATACTGGTACACATTTTTTATTAATTAAATAATTAGCTAATAAATGTGAACAAGAGTTGAGAGAGATAATTAAACAAATATAAGAATAATATCTAAGTCTTATGCCAATTTCTACTGAAATTGTTATAGTTTGAGAGAGGAAAAAGATAAAGTAATAGTATTTCAATTAGGTATAGTTATAACAATTTTCATATATCCTTGTAATTTCTTATATTATGTCTGTCATTTTTCATGTTATATTTATCAATTTTTGCATAATATATTAGAAATTAATACAGATCTACATTTAATACTTTTTAATATTGTGCTAAATAGATTAGATATAAAATGTAGATTATATTATTAATTTAGACACACATTATTTTTTTTCTTTTTATTATTTTTAATTTGTATTAATTATCTTTTATTATTATTTATATTTTATATATATTTCATTAAGTATAACATAACTTGGAGATGTGTCATCTTTAAAATTAATAATTTAGAACCAATTACTTTTTATTTTATTATTAATTTATTTGTAATTTATTTAACATCAATTATGTATTTAAATATCTCTGTTCTATATTGTAACAATTTTCATATACTCTTGTAATTTCTTATATTATATCTATTATTTTTCATGTTATATTTATCAATTTTTACATAACATATTAGAAATTAATACAGATCTATATTTAATACTTCTTAATGTTGTACTAAATAGATTAGATATAAAATATAGATTATATTATTAATTTAGACACACATTGTTTTTAATTACTTTTATTTTTATTTATTTTTTTATTTTTCTTTTATCATATGGCTTATCGAAGGAATTCTATGATCCAAATCTTTTAAATAAATAATCATCTGATTATTGTCCCTTTTTAATTTTAATTTTTAATTTAGTATTTAATTTTAACTATTAAAC